TGGCTGCTTAGCTCCAACAACTGCTTCCTGTTGGGGCCCTAAGGAGCCCGGGCAGGCAGGCAAGGAGTGACTGGGAGGGAAGGGGCAAGTAGAGGCCGGCGAGGCGCCCCTTGACATGAGTGACATCAAGTTGGCCACACCCACCCAGTCACATAACCACCTAGCCACACCTACCCTGCCAGTCATTAGGCAGATCATATTAGTGGTCCGTGGGATTTAAAATTATCAATTTAGTGGTACCTGAGGTCCAAAAGGTTGGGGACCCCTGATCTGAAGGACATCTAGCTGCATAACATCTTGCTTCTCTCTGCACCAAGGCAAGTCAATGAGTAAACTGGCTTGGTTTTTCCTGAGCTGCAGCACCACCTTCATAAAGGCCAGAGAAGGTACTACAATCCATTATTTGGGCAAGTCATATGACTCAAGGCACCAGCATGGCCCCAAATGATCAAGTTGCTCCAGAGTTTTGTACCTACTTTGGAGAAGATGATCTATGTGAGGGGCTCTTGCATTCCTGATTGCTTATTTGTACCCTATGAATATCAGTAAGACAAATTCCTTGTGTATCCAATCACACTTGGCCAATAAAGAATTCTATTCAATTCTATTCTCAAAGATTCTCTGTCTTGAATCTTTTCAGAGTTGGTTGCCAGACAAGAATTTCAACAGTTACTTATGTCAGCAACCAAGCTCAAACTTTCCCACGATCAAGGAGGAGATCCCACCTCTTTGCCAATTCATCAAAAGGCTGTTAGAAAAAGAAAGTCTCTTCCTTAAAAGACACAGGAATACTTGGTTCTCAAGTGCAAAGAATTCAGATGCTGGAATTCTTATAATCCTAATCCTTTCATCTCAACAAATCTTGTTAAAGGCAACTCTTCTGAGAATTGTGCTTGGGAGGAAAAACAACTTCCACGCTTTAGGCAACTCCAAAGAACTTGACAAGGTTCTTTTTGAAGAATGAGGTTGAGTGATAAACTGATCTTAAAACCTGTTTGGTAGGTCTTGTGGAGACTTTTGCAGGACTCTGGGATTTTTTGAGTTGTGATTAAGTGAAGGGCAGAGTTTCTTTCAGTAGGTGGCATTAACAGGGTTTCAAACCAGTCTGCATTGTCACCCTCCCAAGAAAAAAAACTTTTACTCTAATTGTCTGTTAGAATATTCCTGACTGGGAGAAACATGGGAACAAGGTCAGCCAATGAATAGGCATGGCAATTAAGTCAGCCAATGGGAGCTTAAACAGATCTAAATCTGTGCTGAGAATCGAAGCCGAAACTTAAGACTTTGTCTGCTCTGAACTGAAAACTCCTCTCTGCTGTACTGCTGCCTGTGTTCGCTTGGAACTACTACTGCGTTGGAGAAAAGCTATATTGGTATTGTACATTTATCTTCATGTGTTATTATGCATCTGAAAAAGTTAATGAATCCAGCTGAATCAGTTATCTGTGTGCGCTTTCTGGATCTGATTTTTCTGTAACAAACTCTGACATTGTCTATGGAGGTTCTCCGTCATCCAGGTCATGGTTGTACCAAAGGAGCTTTTTCAAGGACTTTCTTGTTTTTCTTTGGAGACATTTCACTTCTCATCCAGGAACCTTCTTCAGAAGAAACTTCTTGGATGAGAAGAAGTTTCTTGGATGAGAAGCAAAAGTCCAGTTGCCCTTTGAAAAAGCACTTTGGAAAGTGCTTTTTGAAAAAGCATCTGATTTAATTGTGCAACTTTAATTGCACAAAGTTGTAGTGTGACTTTCTCTCTTTCACAATGAAATCTAGCCACCAAAATATCTGTGGCCATGACTCCTATCCTTGCCTGTGTGATCTGGACACACCCCAAATGTGCCATTGTCCATGTCATCTCTCTTTGGGACTTCATTGTACATATCTTGAAATCAGTCCTCTGATTTCCTGAAAGTTTCCTTGCCTTCTTTCTGTTTCTCTGCTTTTGCCCAAGCACTTAGCCTTTCTTCCCAGGTTCTTTCCTAATAACTTCTCTTCAGGGATGGGCTTCAAAATTTTTAGCAACGGGTTCTCTGCCTGGTTGCTCAATGGCCCTGGCCATGAAAGGCATGGCCTAGTCCCACGATGGCAAACCTATGGCACGCGTGCCCAAAGTGGCATACAAAACCATGTGGCCTGGCACGCGCGGCGTCTGCCGTTCCTCTTCCGGGTTTCTGGTGCACATCCGTGTGTGATGATCAGCTGGCCTTCGGGCATGCGGAAACTAGCAGAGCTGGTCTGTAAGCATGTGCGCTGGCCAGCTGATCGGCATGTGTGCATGCGTGTCAGTCACCAGAAGACTTGCCGTATGGCGCACAAAACTGGAAGGAAAATTTTCAGCATACGCATGCCCCTTGGGCAACTCCTCTTCCTGGTCGTGACCCAGACGAGTGAGCACGCTTCCTTTTTGGCACTTGGTGCCAAAAAGATTTGCCATCACTGGTCTAGTTGGCCTCCTGCACCACAGTGGGGGGCCGTTTTCACCTTCCCCAGGCTCCGGAGGCTTTCCTCAAGCCTCTGGGAGAGTGAAAACTGCCTTCCCTGGGCTCCGGAGGCCAGAAACAGGCCAGTTTCAGAACTTCCGGAACTTCTAGGAGGCATGTTTTTCCCCCGTCCCCGAGCCTCCGCACAGGCCCTGAACTTACCTTGCATCCAAAATGGGCCACGTGGAGACTCCTGGGAGGGGCAGGATGGGAGGGGCAGTGTGAGGTGGGCGGGGCCAGCCAGTGGTAGGATTTGGAGGTTCTCCAAACTGGCCTTAACATTAGCAACAGGTTCTCTTGAACTTGGGCGAACCCATAGCAGCCCACCCCTGCTTCTCTTGGTGTTTACAGGTAGTCCTCACTTAACAACCTGTTGTTTAGTGACACTTCAAAGTTACAAAGGACCTCCTAGGAGTTACTTATGGCCCGTTTTCAATGTTCCAGTAGCTGCAGGCACAGATATCCATTTCCACATGATTGCATTTGGGGTGCATGACAACCAGTTCATGTTTATGATTGTTTGCAGGATCCTAATGTTAGTGACCACAATTTTCGGCATTCTTTTGCTAGTTTCTAGCATTTATTTCTGGTTGCTGGCAAAAAAAAATGCCTTTTTGAATAAAGCAAGTTTGTTTAACAGTCATGATGTTCGTTTAATGAATGCGGCATTTACTTAATGATCACCCAAAAAGGTTATAAAATTGGGCACAGGTGCATGGTGACCTGTTGAATGACTGCCATGACCTATGGCCGTAATTCTGATCCCCATTGCGGTTGTAAGTCGAGGACTACCTATAATTGAAGACTGGGGAAAGTAGAAAAGCTGCTAGACAGAAGATTTCTCAATGGAAGATAAGAACCACACACCCTCCTCCCTTACAGACATGTTAAAGGTAAAGGTAAAGGTAAAGGTTCGCCTCGCACATATGTGCTACTCATTCCCGACTCTAGGGGGCGGTGCTCATCTCTGTTTCAAAGCTGAAGAGCCAGCGCTATCCAAAGACATCTCCGTGGTCATGTGACCGGCATGACTCAACGCCGAAGGCGCATGGAAATGCTGTTACCTTCCCACCAAAGGTGATTCCTATTTTTCTACTTGCATTTTTACATGCTTTCGAACTGCTAGGTTAGGGATTTGAACTGCTGAACTGCTGACCTTTCTGATCAACAAGCTCAGTGTCTTAGCCGCTGAGCCACTGCATCCCTCTACAAGCACGTTATGAAATTAAAATAAGATCAGTTCATCAGTGCTAATCCCGGATCTGGCCTCTTATCTTACAACTGACATCTCTCTCAGCTTCTTTTTGCTTAGTCTCCAGATCTGCTAGGGAGACTCTTAGTAAATACCAGGGGGAAGGAGAGCTTACATTTTGTCCGAGGCTTAAGATCGCGGTTCACTGGAGGGGGTTCCAAATCAGAAGGGAGTTCAGGCAAGGGGCTGTTGAGCTTTTCGGTGTTAACTTCCGCAAGAGCAAAAGTAGCCGATCCTGGGTTCATGGGAATGTAGCCATCCGGAGTGCAGTCAGTTCCTGCGATAGGCGGGGAGGTGCTGGGATGCATGGGGACGTAACTGTCTTCGGAATTGTTTGACGTGCAGGAGTAGAGAGGGCTTACTCGGCAAGGCTTCCCAAAAACGAGAAAGAAGAGAAGATAGTGAGCACGATCAGCAAGACATCTCCAGATCAGAAGTTAATAGCAGAATAACAGAGTCATAAAGGACCTTGGAGGTCTTCTAGTCCAACCCCCTGCTCAGGCAGAAAACCCTCTACTATTTCAGACAAATGGTTGTCCAATCTCTTTTTAAAAGCCTCCAGTGATGGAGATCCACATCTTCTGGAGGTAGGCCCTTCCACTGATTAATTGTTCTCACTGTCAGGAAATTTCTCCTTAGTTCTAGGTTGGTTCTCTCCTTTTTTTTAATTGAGTTTTTATTTTTCCATTTTCATAACATACAATCACATATATACTATTACATAGCTAACATCATATTGTATTACATCAATTCACCTTACCAACAGCTCCCAAAAACAATTATTGGCTATTCTGCTCTCCATACACCAGGGGTGGGTTTCAACCGGTTCGTGGCGGTCCCCGCAAACCGGTTGGTCGGCGAACCCGGAAGTAAGTAACTTCCGGGAACGGCGAAGGGCCCACCCGCCCGCCCGCCCGCCC